CTATGCCAACTTCATAGATGTGGGAAGAGAGACTGGGTGGATGAAACTGCTTTCCCCAGGTCTCCCGAGTGGCAGAGCCAGGGTTTGAACCCGTGCTTCTACAGGCTGTGTGTCTGGTGTGCCAGACAGAACTCTGTGAGGCCTATTGCCGCTGCATGTCACACCACTCGCAGTTTAGTGGTATGGTTCAGTACAGCGGACGTTCTGTTAAGCTCAGGCTTTCTGTGGATCAGGAGCTGAGGAAGACCACAGTGGGGATGGCTTGTCTGCTCCAGAAGGTCGGGGCCTTCGCAGGGAAGGCCTGAAGGCTGAAGGCTCCCTCCCCAGTCGTGGTTGATGCTGCCTGTCTCTCTCAATCTGGAGGCATGTTGAATTTCAGTTATTTTTCTTGGCTTGGGGGAAAACTCAAGTCTTTGAAAACCTTGAATTTATTTTAAGGAAACAGGTTAGCAGATAGTTTAATTTGGAGGAAAACAGTATGTTTTGTTTTGAAGGGGTGAACCAGAGGAGTTTGTTTTTCACAGTGGCCCAAAGACTTCTTGGGTTCTTCACAAAATCTGAACTTTCAGGCTATTTTTCCAGACCTTAGTTACTTATTCTTTTGAATAAATAACAAACCCTACTGCAGAATTTTTATTTAAATCTTTTTATGCATATTCAAAGCCTTCTCAGGTCACTTCAGATCTTAGAGAACATCCAGGTTCTGCTTTCTTCTACCTAATCCCGCAAGGCCATCGTTCCTAATTGAATCAGACCTGGAGTAAGGTCCCAGGCCAGGGGAATAGGGTGTTTGAGCCATGTTCCTATTTTTCTGGGGTTCTGGGACGAAAGTAACTGACCCATGAGCAGTAGGAGAAAGCCTATAGAAAAATTCAGTCTTAGGTTTTTTTAAAGCCAGATGTGAAAAGCATTGGGTTTTCTTGTTTTTTGTTTGTTGGTTTGTTCGTTTATTTGTTTGAGAAGCGTTGGGTTTTCTGATGTGTGTTTTTTCTACACCATCAAGCAGTTAACTCAGTTCTCAACAGACACTGACTGGGGGTCCTGCGAATTTAATCCTGTTCTAACACTACCTGGAGATAGCCTCGGATCCCAGGGGTTCAGGGCTCGGTTCCACAAGACTGTCCCCACTTCCAGGCTGCCACCTGTGCTCCAAACCAACTGACCGTAGCGCAGAGGTTTGCCAGACCAGCTCACAAAACTCCGGAAACTAGTGTACTTATATTCACCAGTTTATGATGAAGGACATGATGAGGAGCAGCCAGATGAGAGGTCCATAGGGTAGGGTCCTGGAGGGACAGAACTTCCACGCCCTCTCTGGGGCACCACTCTCTCAGCCCCTTCACATGGTCACCAACCCGGAAGCTCTCTGAACATCCTTTGGGTTTTTATGGAGGCTTCATTACGTAGTCATGATTGATTACATCTCCAGCCCCTCGCCTCCCCTGGAGAGTGAAACTGAAAGTTCCTGCCCTCTGATCCTGTAATGGGTTCCTCTAGCAACCAGCCCCGATCCTTAGGTTACCCAGAGGGGTTCAGAAGGTCACCTCAAAACATTGTTTGCTCTCCTCACTTAGGGAAATTCCAAGGGTTTTTGGAGCTCTGTGCCAGGAATGGAGACAAAAACCAAAACATATTTCTTGTTAGAAATCATAATATCACAGGTTTCTCCATTGGCTTTCTTTTGGTTGCCAAAATAGTTTTCTTGCATTAGGAAGAAATCTCATTTTTCATAGAGATATGGATGGGACTTTATTGGTTGACAGAAGAATAGTGTTCCTTCTGGCATTCCAAAGCTTTCGCCCAGCCGTAGGTAGAGTCTACACCAGGAAACCCGCAGCTGACCTGTTAGGACGCTCACTGGTGTCCTCGGGTCACATGTGTACTTTGCCTTGATGGATCTGAATAATTGAAGTACCAAATGGGATTGTCATCGGAGCATCTGGCAGTTTCATTAAAAAAGCAAAACACTCGCACCTGGATGGCTCAGTCGATTGAGTGTCCAACTTTGGCTCAGGTTCATGGGTTCAAGCCCCACGTCAGGCTCTGTGCTGACAGCTCAGAGCCTGGAGCCTGCTTCAGATTCTGTGTCTCCCTCTCTCTCTCTGCCCCTTCCCTGCTTGCATTCACTCTCATTCTCTCTCAAAAATAAAACATTAAAAAAAATTTTTTAGAAAGGAAAACAAAATTGTGACAGGCAATGCTCTGTAAATGTGCTGCTGCTATTCTTATGTCACTAGGGTTTGTTTCTGTTTGCTTTTGGGTTTTTACTCTCTTTGTTTTTTTTCCCCCCAGTGTATGGGGGTATTTGGAAATAGGGATGTTGATGGTCTGCTGGTAACATGGTTAGAAACGATCTGGTAGACATAGCCCTCTATTTCAAAACATTTTTTATGCTTTTTCTAGGTACTGCATTACATGTATTTTGGTCAGGTTGGTGTAGGGTTACCTGTTCGTTTTCTGACTCATGGCATCTATACTATGAAGATTAATAAAGGGAAGCCTCATTCGAATGCAATTGGAGGTTCAGCAAGGGGAGCCCCCGCCCTACCACTCATTGTCAGCTGCACACCCCAGCAGGAAGAGGAGGCCCTTGCAGGTGGATACTGCTTTACTATCCCAGCAGGAGGAAAGAAAGCTCACCTCCTTCCCATCACCCCCAGGCCTCCAGCAGCCCAGCCAGTGAGAGATGGTCATAACTCAGCCAATGAAAAGCCACTGTGCTTCCAGCTCCCACTTTATCCCAGTGGGTTTTCTGTTTATAACAGCCCTCCTGACCGTTCTGCTTTCCGCTGTAAAAGAGCAGTTCTATCCTTTGTTCTGAACACTTGCCAGTGGTTTTCCCAAACTTCTTGTTCCAGATTGCAGTTCTGTGTTATTCCCTAATAAACCCATCATTTTATAATAAAATACCTAGCAGCATTATTTTTTTAAGTTAACAATACCTTCATGAAAGAAGATAGGCAGTAAGTAAACAACAATTTCAAAAAATAAGTGCATAGTAAAGTGAATGAAACAAGATGATGGTACAATAATAGTTCACTCATTTTTAAACTAAAAGAATTTGGTTTGCTCCATGGAATTGTATAGCGAGAGTGCAGAGGGAATGAAAAGAGAATAATGCTTTAGCTAAAGGAAACTCACTCTGAGAAAGGAAGTAGAAATACATATAAGCCACCTTTACATAACTTTGAAGTTGAGATTCCCCTATAGTATCTCTTGTCCTCTAATCAGTTGAAAATCATTTTAATAAGTGCTTAACCTTGTCACTTTTTTCCCACTTAGATCTTTTAAGGAATAATTTCCATTGCGTGTGTCCCCTCAGAATAACCTTTCTACCAAGCTAAGTTTGGTGCTCCTAAAATTGGGGCTCAGTCATTCCCTACACTGCTCTTGCTTTCTTTATCTTCCTCTCTTAGAAAAGATTTTAAGGAGCTCTTCATATTAAAAGATATTGAGTAACCAAGTCAGCAGAATTTATAGAAGTAAGTTCTTGTCCAATAGGATAGGAGAGAGCAATTTGAAAAGGCTAGATAGAGCAGGAAAGCAAAAAGGCTTCATCTATATGCATTGATTGCATAGGGAACTAATGAAAGTGATACACTATAGGTGAGCTTCCAGATCACTCTGTTAGGAAAGAGCATTTCTGGGGCATCTGGGTGGCTCAGTTGGTTAAGTGTCTGACTGCAGCCCAGGTCATGATCTCTTGGTTCGTGAGTTCAAACCCCACTTCAGGCTCTGTGCTGACGCCCTGGAGCCTGCTTTGGATTCTATGTCTTCCTCTCTCTCTCTCAAAAATAAATAAACATTTAAAAAAAAGGGAAAGCATTTCTGATAGTGAATAATTGTAAGTTTTAGCTATTCTCAAACACTTCAAAGTAGTCTTGTCCTCTGCAAACTATTCTAAAAATAATTTTAGCATTTATTTCTGGAATACGTGATTCACTACTTACATAAATATCCATTATTAATTTAAATGTACTTACTTTATCATTCCTCATTTCTGCCTGGAGTAGTAAATGCTGACAGTTCAAAGCCTCAAAAACGGCTGTATCCCACAGTTCAGGAATGTTCTTAACTCTGGGAGAGGAAGAGGAGGCAATAAAGGAGGGCACACAGGGAGTTTCAAAGATCTGTTGGATGCTTAACTGACAGCCACCCAGGCACCCCACAAAGACATTTTTTCAATTGTATGTACAAATTAAACCACATTCTATGAGAGGTGATAGTAAGGAAATGAAGTTAAGTGTGTGGATTTTGTAGGTAGTTCATTTTTGTTGTTGTTTTAATTGGGTAGCACATAATGAACTTCAGAATCAGCTTATCTAGTTTTCTCTAAAAATAATTCTTGGGCGCGTGGGTGGCTTAGTTGGTTAAGTGTCTGACTCTTAATTTCAGCTCAGGTCATGATGTCACAGTTTGTGAGATCAAGTCCTACATTGGACTCTGCCCTGACAGCGTGGAGCCTGCTTGGAATTTTCTTTCTCTCTCTCTCTCTCTCTCTCTCTCCCTCCCTCCCTCCCTCCCTCCCTCTCTGTCTCTCTCTATTTCTGCCTACACTTATATGTCTGTGCTCTGAAATAAACTTTAAAAATAATTTCTTATTTGTGTTGGGATCATGTTAAGCTTCTATACTAATTTATAAAGAATTAGTAACTTTATACAAATAAGGTATGGACTTTATTCATTTGTTCAGGTCATCTCTTGTGTTCCTCAGTAGCATCTAAAGTTTTGTCCCTGTATATTGTATACATTTCCTGCTTCATATGTGTGTAAATCCAAGCACACATTTGTGTATATATAAATACACAGGTAGTCAGTCACAGTTATCCTGCGAGCCTTAATTTTTTTCTTAATACATTTAAAAACTCTCTTACTGTTATATATGCATAGGGAAATGAAAAATCCTATAAAATATAGTAATATAATTCAGCACACTAACTTAATGCTTAAAAACATTAAGAATGTTTTTCTTAAACATTTTATGTTTTATTTCTTTGTAGGAAACCTACCAAGAATAGTGTGTTCAGTGCTTGCTTCTTACAGTATTATAGGTGAGCGTGTTTTCAGTGCCTTGGCCATTGGTCGTACCCCTTTCTGGGTGTGGATCAGCTTTCACCATTTTATCCTGTGCTCTTTCGATTCAGTTTGATTACAGAGCATTTCTGTAATGATATTTTTCACAGGCATAACTTCCTCCAGGAACCCACTTTCTTCATGCGTGTTCCCAAGTTTACCTTCATGTAGATCCTCTGGGAGTGGCGGCCGTGTCAGCATTCCTGTGGTCAGCAATTTGTTCAGGAAATGCATTTACATTTGAGCCTAATTTCACTTACAGGGTTACCACTTTTTGGTTTCTCCTGTATTTCCATTTTGTTGACCAGTTCCTTTTTTTGGAGTATACATTTTTGTAAAATGTCACTTGGGACATTTTATCACTGGGAGATTAGGAGGCACCACAGCTACATGCTTTGCTGTCTGTGAGTGACCAGTCACTAACCGACTGAAAGAAAGGACATGATTAGTCGCTGATCCCGAAGCACGTCTGTTTGCTAAGCTACCAGTGAAGTCTGTACTCTACAATTAGACAGTGAATATATTTTGATAACTGAAACTCGAACAGTTGTTAGGGGGGAGTGGTGACATTTAACTAAACCATAGTAACCAGAATCCGTGCATGGTAGCACCATACAGAGCAAGGACTGCCCACCCCCCTCTCCCCCCCACACACACCCTGGTTGTTAGGCATATGCTATATTTCATTTTTTCTGTTGCTGCTATAACTTGGGTCTTTTCCTTCCTTTCCTAGTTTTCAATTCAATATTGTTTTTATATAGGAAAGCTGTTGATCTATACAGAACGTTCACTTTATGCCCTTACTGAATTTCTTTTTTTTTCTCTTACTGAACTTATTACTTTTAACAGTTTTTAATTCGTATTATTTGCAAATAACTTTCTCAACCTTTCCTATATGATATTTACCCCTCTTCTTTCTCTTACCTAACCGTACTGGCTAGTGTTTCTACCACACACTAAATAAGAGTGGGGATAGTGAAAGTCCTTATCTTGTTCTTGGGCTGAATGATACGCTTCTAGTGTTTTCTCATGAAGCTTTAGACTAGTTTTGAGGTTGAGATAGATCTATTTTATCATGAAGAAGTTATTCACCTACCCGATTGTGTGGAGAAATGTTATTAAGCATGTATATTGGATTTAGGTGTTGTCAGCCTGGTGTAAGTGCCTCCTAAAACATGGTGGTAGGGAACACACAGCTGTCCCTCTGAAGTATATTTGCAAAAAAGGAAAAGTGGGGAAAAAAACTGACCCTGAATCTAATGAAACCTTTACCTCAGTAGTTCTCACCCAGGGAGAAGGCAGTTCTTCCTCGTCTCCCCACAAAGGGCATCTGGCAATGTCTAGAGACGTTACTGTTTGTCACAGTGGGGAGAGAAGGTGCTAGCTACTAAGACTTAGTGGGTAAAGGCCAGTGATGCTGGTAAACATCCTACCAGCTGCCAGAACAGCTCCCACAGTGAAGAATTACCTAGCCCAAGGTGTCAGGAGTGCTAAGGTTGAGAACCCTTCCCTGGTCCCACTGCCAGATTACAGGAATTGGGAAGGCTACAGAAATACATACCACAACACCAGAAAGTGATCGTGCAGCACATGATGTGAAAAACTCTACAAAGCAGATGACCTGGTTTCTTTAGCACCTAAACGCATGCAGGCGATGGGGAAGAGAAAGAACTGTTACAGATTAAAAGAGCCCTAAGATATATACCAACCAAATGTAATATATACATCTTGTTTTGATCCTCATTCAAACAAAACATTTCTGCAGAAATTAGGGAAATTTAAGTGGAGGGTACATGAAACAAGACTGGCAAAATGTCAGTAATAATTGAAGCTGGGTGATGGAGTTTCATTATAATTTCCTACTTTGGTCTTTGCTTAAAGATTTCCATAGTAGGAGCGCCTGGGTGCACAGTCATTTAAGCATCCAAGTCTTGATCAGGTCTTGACTCAGGTCATGACCTCGCATTTCATGAGTTCAAGCTTCAGATCAGGCTCTGTGCTGATGGCCTGGAGCCTGCTTTGGATTCTGTCTCCCTTTCTCTCTACCCCTCCCCCTCCTGTGCAAACACATTCTCTCTCTCTCTAAAAAAAAGGAGGGGCGGATTTCCATAGTAAAAAGTTTTGTTTAAAATGGATATTGAATTTTAGATTAAGTTTCGGCAATAGTAGTGAAAATATGACTTCTCTGATCCTTTCAAATGGTGAATCATCATGATAAATTTCCTAATACTGAAATCTCTGTATTCCTAGAATAAGCCGCTCTTTGTCATGGTATATTATTCTTTAATATACTGTAGGACTGTCTTTGCCAGCATTTTATTCAGGATAATCTGCATTGATACCCGTAACTGAGATTTGGTGTGTAGTTTTCTTTTTCTTTTGCCCTTGCCAAGTTTCAGTATCACTGTGATCCTAACTTCATAAAAAGACTTTGAATGACTTTTTAAAAAACTCCCTGGAACTTGAAGATACAAGCTAATTTAATACAAAGAAACTGGCTATTTTCTATTGACTTTAAATATGGGACTGGTAGTCCTTTGAAAAGAACATTGATAACTTGTTTCTTTTCCTAATTTCTACTCTAAGTGTCTTCTTAAAGAATGAAAATATACTGGTGCAAATATTAAAGCCAATGGGCAGTATTCTCAATGACTTTTTGTATCAAAAGCTTTAAGTGCCAAAAATTCTTATTATATAAGATGACTGTCAACCTTTTAATAGTCTTTATTTTTTAGAGCAGTTTAGTTTCACTGCAGTGTTGAACAGAAGTACAAGGACTGCCCATATGCTCCCTGTCCCACTCATTTATAGCCTCTTCCATTATTAGCATTCTTCACCAGAGTGGCATATTCATTATAGTTGATGAACCTGTCTTGACGAATCATTATCACCCAAAGTCCATAGTTTACATTAGGGTTCACTCTTGGTACTGTATGTTCTGTGGGTTTGGACAAATTTATAATGGCATGTATCCACCAATATAGTAATATAGTATCATGAAGAGTAGTTTCACAGCCCTAAAAATCCCCTGTGCTCCATCTGTTCATTCCTCCAATACACACATCCACTCCTGGTGGTCACTCCTGGTGACCTCTGATCTTTACTGATTCCATAGTCGTGTATTGTTATTCTTCAACTTTGTTTTTCTCCTTCAGTATTGTGTTGGCTATTACAGATCTTTTGCCTATCCATATAAACTTGAGAGGCAAAAACAGCAAAATAACTTGCTAGGATTTTTAATGGGATCACATTGAATATATAGATCAAGTTAGGAAGAACTGACATCTTGACAATATTGTCTTCTTAATATAAAATATCTCCATTTATTTAGTTCTTTAATTTCTTTTTTCTTTTTTCTTTTTTTTTTTTTTAAATGTTTTTATTTTTATTTTTAGGGGAGAGAGAGACAGCGTGAGCTGGGGAGGGTCAGAGAGAGAGGGAGTCACAGGCTGAAACAGGCTCCAGGCTCTGAGCTGGCAGTCAGCACAGAGCCCGACGCGGGGCTCGAACCCACGAACTGCGAGATCATGACCCAAGCGAAAGTCGGACGCTTAACCGACTAAGCCACCCAGGCGCCCCTTCTTTAATTTCTGTCATCAGAGTTTTGTAGTTTTTTCTCATATGGATTTTATGCATATTTTGTTAATTTTAAAACTAAGTATTTTATTTGGAGAGTGCTGATGTAAATGGGATTGTGATTTTAATTTCAAATACCACCTGTTCATTTCAGGAATTATAGAAAAGTGATTGACTTTTATTTATACTAACCTTGTATCCTGCAATCTTTCTTTAATTGTTTATTAGTTCCAGGGGTCAGTTCTTTTGGATTTTCTATAGAGACAGTAATGTTGTCTGCAAGGACAGTTTTATTTTTTTCTTTCCCAATATGTGTATTTTTTTTTCTTTTTCTTACTACATTAGCTAGGACTTCAAGTACAGTGTTGAAAAGGAGTGGTGAGAGGGAATGGATATTCATCTCTTATTCCTAAACTTAGTAGAAAGCTTCCAGTTTCTCATCATATATGATGTTAGCTGTATGTTTACTGTAGATATTCTTTATTCATTTGAAGAACTTCCTAGGTTGGTGAAAGTTTTTAACATGAATAAGTATTGGATTTTGTCAAATGCTTTTTCAGCATCTATTGATATGATCATAAGATTTTTCTTTACTTGTTAGTAAAGTAAATTACATTGAATTTCAGATGCTGAATCAGGTTGGCATGCCTGGGATAAATCTCACTTGGTTGTGGTGTAGAATTTTTCTTACAATTGTTGAATTCAGTTTGCTAATACTTTGTTGAAGATTTTTGCATCTGTGTTCATGAGAGATACTGGGCTATTGTTTTGTTTGTTTTTTCTTGTAATATCTTTGTCTGGTTTGGGTATTAAGAGTAATGCCAGCCTCATAGAATGAGATAGGAAGTATTTGCTCTGCTCTGTCTTCTGAAAGAAATTGTAAACAATTGGTATAATTCCAGGGCACCTGGGTGGCTCAGTCAATTGGGTGTATGACTTTGGCTCAGGTCATGATCTCACGGTTCATGTGTTCAAGCCCGGTGTCTGGCTCTGTGCTGACAGCTCAGAGCCTGGAACCTGCTTCAGAATCTGTGTTTCCCTTTCTCTCTCTGCCCTTCTCCCTCTCATGCTCTCTCAAAAATAAACAAACATTTTAAAAATGTTGAAAAAAAGAATTGGTATAATTTCTTCCTAAATGTTTGATAGAATTCACCAGTGATCCCATCTGTATGTGGTGCTTTCTGTTTTGGAAGAGTTATTATTAATTATTGATTTAATTTCTTTTTTTCCCCTTTAATTTTATTTATTTATTTACTTATTTTTAAGTAGGCTCCATGCCCAATGAAGGGCTTGAGCTCATGACTCTGAGATTAAAAGTCACATGCTCTACTAACTGACCCACCCAAGTACTCCAAATTATTGATTTAATTTTTTAATAGATACAGAACCTCTTCAGATTGTT